AGCTGAAACAATGGGGTCATAACCAGAAACCCATGCAAGGGTTTTGCACTACCACAAGATGAATGAAGTTCTTGGTCTTCTCAATATATCAAATATATGTCATCCTAAAATGCTTCAGTGTCCAACCTGCTACAGTGAATTTCAAAATATATATCGCAGACTAGTGGTATAATTGCTTTGTTTTACTTTGGAGGGAAATGGACATGAAATACACCTAATATGCTCTGTAAATACACCCAGCAAAGTCCTGGGAAGCCAGTTCTCAACAAAGGCCATCCTGGCAAGTTGGCAGCTTGTCCCCTGATGTCCTGGTCAGTGGTGGGCCAGTGTCTTTTATCAAGCTAAAGCTCTTGGGATTTACACACCCCAAGTACAATGTACTACGCAGATGTCTCAGGACTAAATCTCTCACAAAATAGCTATTCCATAGATCTTCTCAATAAAAGCACTGAGATTGCTAAAATTATGTTTTCTGTACAGAAGAAAAATGAGGTGACTGTTTCAAACTTTTACCCAGTTCCAAGTATCACCTAGCGTGGTCTCCTTGTCATTCTTAAAGGACACAATGTAGCAGACCAAGTTTTCCATTCATTGTCATTTTTAAACATTTTTAAGAGTAATTACTTGCTGCTGGAGAGCAGTAAACCCTCAACAGCTCTCACAGCAACCTTTAAAGGATTGCAAGAAAATGATTGCAAGAAAATAAAGCAGAAAGAAATCATGTTTCTCCTTAAAGCACTGCCCATCCTGGAAGCACAAAAGAGACCACTGCAACTGGGGACCATCAGCACGGCTGTGGTGGGACAGCTGCAGAGGGTTCTGCAGATCTTGTCCAAGAAAGGAAAAAGTGGAACCACTAAAGCAGCAGTGAAAGGGAAAACTTCTTGTTGGGCACAGTCTGTGCCTGCCTCCAAGTCCTGCATTTTGGGGATACTAGCAAAGGAAACAAGGCTTCAAGTACTCCATCTGTACCCACATATGACTCTGATGAGATATACTTTTAAATTGCTGAGCTCCTTCTGTCATTTATTTACAGATGACAGTAAGAGAAGTGAAACAATCCCAGGCACTGAAAATATGCCCTCTTTTTACTGAGGAACCAAGAAATACTTTCCCAGGTATCCAGATAGAACAAATCTCCAACTGATGCTTGAAATAAGCAAGGACAAACAAACATTTGTAAGTTTCCCTGCCACATACTGATTGGTCACTTCCATTCATCTGTTGGTTTCCAGCAATTTCCCAAAGAAGTTACTGCAGCTCTGTGTGTCAGACCTGGTATCCAGAAAAAGCTCACATACCATTTACACCACCATATTCAGTATTTTTCATATGCATGACAATTTTGACTGTGAGGATCTTGCAGAGCAGTGTCCAAAACATCAGGATTTGGGGTCCCATACACTGGCTTTAAGAAAGTCCATGCTCCAGCTACATTTTGTTTCAGTAAACATGTTTTTTAATCAGTGAATTCCAAGTAACATGCTATTTCAGGCTTGCAGTTTACCAAGAGCTTTCTGCTCTAACTTGAACAAAGGCTCAAACAGATAACATCCAGAGGTCCCCTTCAAAACTAAATTACTTCACAATTAAGGGAAGAAAATAATTCAGATCCAGCTACATATACTCGCTGTTGCTGGAAGAGATCAGCCAGCAGGACATACTAAGGACTGGCAGCTGAATCTTGCAGGTGCATGAGAAGACCCTTCATAAAATTTCAAACCACGTCTCAAAGTCTGCCAGGTTGTCCCTGTCTACATAAATACATATAAAATACACACCCCCAAGCACACACCCCATAGAAAGCTACAAAAGAACAAAAGTAGGAGACCAAAAGACAAATACATTGTCTGCAAGAGTTTTATCCAGGCTGCTACAAATGCCACGACATGGATAACCTCTAGCTGTAGACTGGGTAAATTATCTGACTATGAATTGCTCTTATGTCAACTTTTTTTACTCCAGGATTAGGTTCTACTAAAAATCAAACAAACCTTCCAATTTGGGAGTCTTCCTTATCTACAAAAGCAGCTTCTCTATCCCTGCAGGTAACAGGCCTGAACAATCCCTAGCATGCTAACTTGATAAAAGAATTCAAAGATAATTACTTCTAAGCAGAGAACAAAATATGTAAATTTGGAGGGCAATCAATTTACACTGGGAAGAATCGTCATACAACTTGACACAAAGTAACAGGCAACTGCTGAAAGGAAATACCACAGCTTACTACCATTCCCTGCTGCTGAATTCACTCTTAATTTTACCAAAACAACATCAGAATGTGGTTGATTGAAAGGTGGTAAAAAGCCATTTGTGCTTTTGAACCCCGTTCAATAGCTTTTGTAATCAGTTATGAAAACCGGTACATAATCGGTCTCAACAGCACAATCTTTCGCTACCAAGATACGGGCGATCATTTGGGGTTATTATTTCTTCAGACTTTTTTTGTCTGACGCCGCTGAACGGCAAAAGCCGATTTGGAAAGCCGGCGTCCAGCTTTGTTCAAGGCTCGCACAAAAGCAAGGCGAAGCACCTTACTCCTCGTACCCTTCCCACGGCGGCGGGCGCTGCCGCCCGCTCGGGCTGGGGCCGCCGGGCAGCGGGCCCGGCATTACAACACCGGGAGGGGAGGGAGCGCACGGCCGGCGAGCGCCGCGCCGGCCCTGCCCACGCAGCGACCGCGGGGCCGGGCGCGCGCGCGGCGGGGGCCCGCGGGGAGGCGGGAGCGCGCCCGCCGCCCCCGCTTGTCCATCAGCACGTGCCGTGGGCGGGAGGGCTGGCGGGGCTCCCCGGGAAGGAAAGTCGGCCGGGAGGAACCAGCCGGGCCTGCTTTTCCTCCCCAGGAGCCCCTCCGCGGGCGGGAGCGCGGGCCGCAGCCTGGGCCAGCTCGTATCTGGGCGCCCCGGCCCCGGCTGTCCTGCCCCGCCGGCCCAGCAGCGCTTTCCCCGTGAAGAAGCTCCTCTAGGAAAGGGCGGGAAGGTGTGAGGGGAAAAGTTGCCCAGCCGGTGTCATGGAAGCGCTGCTGGCCTTGAGGAGGGTCGAGACACGAGAACAGCAGCTGCAGCACGGGGGGCCGGAGGCTCCGTGCCGGTGCTGAGGGCTCGGTGCCGCCGAGCGCCCCGTGCCGGGGTTCGCGGGGCGCGGGGATACCGCGGGATGCGGGGATACCGCGGCACCTGGGGTGGCAGCTCGGCCGGGCTGCGTGTCACCGGGGACGGCAGCGGCGGAGGGGAAAACGAGGGACTGGCATGGGCCTTTGGGCTTCTTCGTGGAAGAATAGTTCTGAGAAGGCTGACGCTGCAGTACCGCAGGAGGGATGGAGTTCCATTGCAAAGGACAGCACTGTTTGCTTTTTCCATTTCCTGTATCTAAATAAATATGCCCAGTTAGTTAGATTGGAATACATTATGAGTTCTGCAATGGGCTGCTCTGCTTGCTGATAAGGATGCTGAAGGCCATGATTTGCATTGTGTTTCAAAGCTCCTTATCATTAGGACAAATTGGAGAAGTAATAATTTGTCTGTCTGTCTTCAGCTGAGGTCTCCCAGCAGCAGTGCAGAAGGAGCTCCAGTGACAGTGTTTTGTGCCCGGCACAGCTCCCACCTGGGCTGCTCTTTTTAACCCTTCACTCCACAGTGTGGCAGCAGTCGTGCTGCTGATGTCCTCTTGCCTTTCACCTGTCCTGCCACTTGGTTCCTCTGCACCGAGAACTTTGCACACAAAGCCAGCTACAGGGGAAATGAAGATCACATGGATCGTGCAGACCTACTCAGTTTCCCTTTGTTGCGCACCGAAACACTCTTTAGGCCTTCAGGACACACCAGTAATTGCTGGTGTGGAGATGGCTGCCCAGATAAACTGTTTGCAGAGAATAACCAGTTGGGAAGCAATCTGGCTTATTGGTGCCAAATAGCCACATGTGCATATATTGTGGGAAACATGGCCTTGCTTATTTTGTTGACCTCTCCACAGCGTATCTCCATTTTTGCATGCTAATATCAGATAGGACTTGTAAATGTTGTGTACTCCACTGCAGAGCTGCCACCTCTGAATGTAAGATGAGAGCACTGGCTTTGCATTCTGGCTCACATGCCGTTTACCTACAGATTATTAGATGAGAGCTTCACGTCTGTATTATCCTACACAGCAATACGAAAGAGGAAGTAAAACTTCAAACCTATCACCTTCACTGACTCCTTTAAAATGTAGGCAGGTAAAGGCACAGCTAATAATTGTATGTGGCCAGATGCTTTGGTGATAGGCATTTGAAAATGCAGGGTCTTATCTTACTAGACTTTTAGAAAATTTTTTCTGATCACCATCATCCAGAAAAATCTGTCAGTGTCCAAAACAAAGCCAGGCTGCAAGAAAGACAAAATCACAGCTTCCATGCCAAGCAATACAGAACTCCTATGCTTATGTTTATAATTTCAAAGGAAAATATGAGTCTGCTGTTCTTCCACTCTGTGTACTACGAAATTATAGCAGCAGAACAGACACTCAATATGGAAGAAGAATGCAACATGCATGTGTGTGCTCCCAAGCAGAACCAGAGCTGTTAGTGCCAGCATCTCTTCAGTGATCATGTGTGCTAATACAGTCCGGTGCTTGTCAGATGTTAGATATTGATTCCAATCCAGGATGCAGGAATTTAGCAACAGCCACTAGCCTTGAAATGGATTTAACCCTTTTTGTGAGATGGATCAGCTCTTTTCATCCAGTTCCTGGTGTGTAAATTTGCACATTGAAGAAATTGCTGCCTCAGCCAGTGCTTTACAAGGCACTTGGGCATTGAAGATGACAGGTCCCTGTCAGGTCAGGAACAGTGTTGCTGAGGATGAAGTTTGTATTGCCATGGCAAGTAATGCCCATCTCTACATAACTGAGTGCCATTAACTCCTTGTCTTAATCACAAAATAAAGTCAGCAAAAATAAACTGTATTATAATAATATTAGGACTGCAGGAGACCAAACTGCATGTAATCTAAAATGATGAATCATAATGACCTTAGAAAGTATTTAGAGTGCGATGGATGTCTGATTAAACAGCACATAGAAAATACTGATGTCTTTCAAAACATACTAACTGCACAAAAGTGCTGTACTTAGGTTTCAACATCTCTACCAGGATAGGTAGAGAGATTTAAACTTTTTAAACTTTTTAAACCAGAAAGTGAACACTTTAGATGATGGGCTCTCAGAAAGACACAGGGCTCCAGCAAGCTAGTGAGAAGCAGCAATCTTACCTGGTGAGGATTTTAGGAATCTTCAAAAACTCAGACACACCAGGTTTAGTAACACTGAGTATTTATTTTGTTAATTGAGCCACACTCTATCTCTACCAGGATAGGTAGAGAGACCTTTTTAAACCAGAAAGTGAACACTTTAGATGATGGGCTCTCAGAAAGACACAGGGCTCCAGCAAGCTAGTGAGCAGCAGCAATCTTACCTGGTGAGGATTTTAGGAATCTGCAAAAACTCAGACACACCAGGTTTAGTAACACTGAGTATTTATTTTGTTAATTGAGCCACACTCAAAAAACACTGAAGTCTTAAAATTGGAAAATAAACAAGTTTATTTGACATTTGGCTGGGATGTGGAAGTCTAACATGTGATACAAAAGAAGCAGTTCAAAACTGACTGTCATGAAGAGAGCTGTATTAAAGAAAAAAAAAGGATTGTCTTCCAGCTGCTTTCATTGTTATTTCCTCTCCAGGAATTTCTTATTAGTTCTTGGAATCACTAGGGAACTGCAAAGTTGACTATCAAAAGAACAAAGAGGTATATATAGGGAGAAGGTCAGCCATGTGATAGGACTTGATCTTTGTAGATCCTTCTTCCCTTCAGTCTCTGGAATTCAGATGTCTTAAATCTGTGGTCCAAGAGAGAGAACTGTTTGCAATTAGATGAGTATTTCTCTGTTACTGCTACAAAAATAAATATTCCATGTTACATATTAAAAGAATATTGCCCTTCAGCCAGGGACACAATTATTTCACTGAATATGACATGAATTTGGCTTTGTCTCTTTTTCAGAACTATTTTACTTGAAAGCATATTCTTTTGATTATAAATTTATACAGCTGTTTGTTACTTACAAAAGACATGGATTTTATTATGCTTTTTAAATGTAAGCAAAAAATAATTCAATAAGGCAGAGTCAAATCTGTGAAGAAATGTGTTTTTAAAACTTTTTGCTATTGGTCACTGGTAGCAAAGAGACAAACTATGTCCAACCTGGAGTCCAACCAGTCTGGTGTGGAACAGAGTCTGGGGCAGCATTGGAGAGCACTGTGGCAACAATCCAAGGAATAACAGCTCAGTGTGCAGAGCACGGGCATGAGGAAACAGGAGTGTTCCCACAGCTCAAGCCCTTGGTGTGTTTTGGGGTTTCTTTGGGGTTACTTGTCCTTCCTCAGCCTTGTGCAGGTGGCCGTGGAGGAAGGAGGACACAATGGCTGTACCTGTCCCCAGCAGCTGCAGGGTGGGAGCTGATTCCTGCCTGGCCTGTGCTGTGGGAGCTGATGCCCCTGCTGTGGCAAAGAGCTGCAGTAATGGGGGCACTTTGCTCTGGGAGGCATCTTCCCAGTCAAGAACCAAACTTCCCGCTGCTTTTTCTGTTTCTTCTTCCTGTGCCTAGTTGAGCTGTATGATTTTGTTTTTATGGATTCATATTTACAAAACCCTTGTTGCAGTCTTCTCACCAGGTTGTAATAAACCCTGAGATAACTCTCCTTTTAAATACAAATTACTTTGTTTTTCTTAAAGCCAGAGCATTAAAAGTCTTATCACAGAAAAAGAAAATATTTGTAGGCTCAGCAGAGGCTTCACCAGGGTGCCTCGCTCACATCAGGTTGTTTGGAGAATTAATAATATGTTTTCCCCTAGATGCATGCACATAAAATCCCCAAAGTCTTCAGTTGCTCAGAGAAGATTAAGTATTTCGATTGTAGTGCTGGCTTTAAAATTTATGTTCCGAATTATCAGTCAGTGGTGCCAAATGATCTGCAAGGAAGTTTGAATTATACTCAGAGAGAAGCTGAATGTTTGTGTTCCTCCACCTTTTGTTACAAGAGGGATTTGTTTCTTTTACAAGTCGGAATAATCCTTAGATCCAAGCCCACACCATATTAACAGCTCCTCTGTTAAGCCTGATGCTCAGGCTTTGTCCTGAAACTGGAGCACTGCTGAAAGTGGAAATGTTTTCAAAACCTGCTGTTACACAAGGCAAATTCTTATCAATACAGAACATTTCTGTCTTGCTGTGTGTAACAGCTTTTTGCTCAGGAGTCATGGATTCAAGTGGATGTGTCTCTGGCAGCTGCAGGAGTGGGTACTGTAGAGATTTACAAAGATGGACATTTATGAGACTGAAAATGCTCTGCTCTTCCAAGCCTGTTAAAATGAAACAGATCTGATCCTCTACAAAAGAAATTAATGACTGAAGTAATGTCATCACGTCCTGATTTTTCCTCAGTCTAAACATATCTTTAAACATGAATAAATTGCTTTTAAATAAGAGCAAGTGCAGCAAAATAGTCTCATTCACTTCTTTTTTCATATTATACTAAAATGAATATGGGACTACAAAATAATAAAAGGATATCCTTGTATTTCAGCTAAAATGTCTGAAAATATATAATGAAGTTAAAGGCATAGCAATTAAGCTTTTCTCTCTCAGTCTGTAAGGTACTTGAATTTTAACTGGAACTTGAACAAGTTAAACTCATGCAGCTAAAAGCAAATCCCCAAAAATAGTCTATAACTCCCTTTGCTTCCAATGAGAAATTGGCCTGTGTCTGCAAATCTCCTCATTTGGCAGCCACACCTAATACAGTTCAAACTCTCCCTGGCATCAGCAAAAAATTACCTGATTAGGGATGCAGGATTGGATCTAAGATAATACCATATTAAAAATCCACCATGGATTCAGAAGCTACTAATGGAAATGAAATCCCTGAGAATATAAAACATTCCAAGCAGTCGAGCAGCTTCCATTGTACATACTCAGAATGCTAAACAATAGCAGCTATTGCATGTGTGACCATCAGGAAACACAGCTGTGCTTCTTTGTGTTGCAATTAATGACTTCCGTTGTATATAAAATTGAAAGTATTGGTACTCTGGGGCGGAAAGAGGATATCCTGATACACTGCTCCTGTTTCCTTACCACGGCCTATTACTGAATGCTTCACCATTAATTCACTCTCAATGAATTACCCTGCGTGAATAAAGGAAGGGTACATTGCCTGGTTAATTGTTATGCTAAAAGCTACTTTTTCTCTGGATTTTCTCTCTCCTACATTTTTATCTCATTTTACTACTTTTGCATATGCTCTCTTTGATAGTAATTGTTCACTTTTAATTAGTTTCACTTAATAATGAAGGTCTAAAATTAACATTTACTTAACTATCTTTTGACTTAAAGATTGTTCTGTTAAGATGTTTAAGTTACAAGATCAGAGAAAGCACAATCTTTCTCACTGTCCTTTAAAGAAATGAACAAAATCATATCAAGTGAAATATTTGTGGCCAGGTTCTCTGAAGCTGGCACACAGAGATGTAATTTATACCTTTCTGTGCCAGTGAATATTCCTAAGCTGGAGGGGAATGAGGATTGTTACCCAGAGTTAGGGAGGAGTAGTAACAACCCTCTGTTATGTGTTCTTTTTTTTTTTTTTTTTGAGAATTGCATAGGAGCAAGAACTGTTTGAGGTTGTACTAAATAGGCAAATATGGGCCCTAAGGAAATACACTACCCCCAAACTTTAATATCTACTTTTTAATAACACTGACTCTTTCTTTTTAGAGAACTTCTGAACAGAGAGCAGCTTCTGTGGCTCCTTAGGAAGTCAATGAAGTCTCCAACAACCACCAGCCATGTAAGCCTATAAAAGGTAGATAATGTGTTCTGTATTTGTCTCTGAGAATTTAATTTCTCAGGATGTGTCTCCTGTCCTAGAAGTCTGACAGTCTGTCACCTTTCACCACCAGACTGTTTCCAATCCATGCTAGGATGTCTAATACAAAGCTGAATAAGTTACATGTGGAAATCATGGAGTCCTTCAATGTGAGAATAAGTAAATTTTGCCAAATGAGCTGAAACCTTGGCAAGTTTGAATTCAGACTGGTGTCATGATGCAGTAACAGGAGAATAGCAGCTCAGAAGAGCTCCATTCCAGAAACTGCTTTACATCATAAAAATGTCAGAAAATCACCATCCACAAAACAGCCCTGTTGTCCTTTTGCTGCAGCAGCTGGCACTGGGAATACAATCTCAAAGGAAACTGTGCTCTGCCATTATTTTATAACCACACAGTTCAGATTCAGGCGTGCTCTGTCTGAGGCCACAGCTAGAACCAGAATCCCTGGCTAGCTGTTTGGATTTCTTGCAAGGACTTTTTGGCCAGAAGTAGATGCCGTGCAGTGTACATGCAATAAAGCAGAAACTTTCAATTAGTGCCATCTATGTAGTGCATCCCCAGTAAATCTCAGGAAGTCTGGTATTTGCAGGATGCAGAGGGCTGAGTGCACTCACATGAGCAGCAGAGCCCACTCTGTCACCTTCTACCCCACAGCTTCCAGGCCTGTGAAAGGAACAGGAACTCTGGGCAGGCTTCTGCATGTGCATTAATCACAGGGAAATTGACAATATCCTTGGAATCAGTACAGGGAAAAATTTGCAGGAAGAAAATCTGTCAAGGAATGTGCAGGGAACAGCTGAAGAATATTTTGTTTGTGAAAGAATAATAGTCTTTGTTTATAATGCACAAATAAAAATTTTATTCCTGAAATCCTATTTTTTATATGAAGCCAGATTTTTGGAAAGTGTGCCCTTTTTTCTGCTCCCACATCTCCTATGCTATCAAAACTGTGAAGTTGTTACTTCATAAGGCAAAAATACCTAACAGATAACAAAACCCAGGTCTCAAGGTGCACTCAGATTCATGCATTATTCTTAAGCTATATATGGTAAATGGACTAGATGACAACAATTTAGGCTCAAATAGTGCAGGTATGAAACACATCCACTAAAAGGAAATCAGAATCTCAGTTCTGAGTGTTTTAATCCACGTATATCTCCCATACATGCATATAGGAATGTTTGCATTAGTCAACATGAAGATTTCTTTAAATGAAACTAAAGCTCGATCCCAGCATTATTTTCCTGTCTACATATGATTAGATCTTAAAATCATTTAAACACTGTAAATCATTATTTTGTTTTGAAATGAGATCTTTCATTCAGGCTACAGATATTTATTAAACCTCCTAAAAATCCGAAACACCCTCTTTAATACACCAGGAGAACAAAACAATCTAGAACAGCAAGTTTTCTGGCTTTAGTGTAGCAAGCAGCATTCATTCCACAAGCACTGGAAGAATCATCACCTTCACTCAAGTCAAGGTTGTATTTTTATCTATATCTTCTAATTAAAAGAAAAATAAGTCTCAACTCTTTCAGTAACACTATACACAGTAAAACTATGCAGAAACAGAAGAATTTCTGCAAGATCTGTCATAAATGAAAAGAATCCAATTTCTAAAGTAGTAAGATTAGAAAATACTTTTGTAATGGAGACAGATTTATTAATGATACTTTATGCATACTAATTTATTATTCCCTAACAGTTTTAATCTGGAAACTTTTAAAGGAAAAATGTTTTGTTCAAAAGTTTAGCTTTGTTTAAAAAAATTCCTTCTTGTCTTTATTACAGAGAAAATTCTTGTGACTCAGCCTGACAGTCCTTATTAGTACAGCACACGTTTGTTACTGTTTTCTTTTGATGTAATCTTCCTAAGAGGAGGAACAAATGTATTTTAACAGCTATCCAAGGGCATATGTCATAGGCTCACAGCACAGAATTTATGCCTGAATATAGTCTGAATCTCATCCATAACTCTGATCTGCCTGGGAGAACAAAGCATTTCATTGTGTATTCAATAATGGTTTCAGCAATCTTATTCACACATTCCTTCCTTTCTTAATCAACAGAAACTGTTTGAATTCAAGATGCATGATTGGGGTGGGAGGGGCAAACAATGCCAAAGCCTATACTTTTGAAATATCCATTTTCTTCAGAGCAATAATCTCTCTTTAAGAATCCCTGTTAAGAATCCCTTAATGCAACATTTGCACACATTTTGCACCATGTCCTTTCCTAATGAACTTTGTTCTATTTCCCCTTTTCCACCCTGTCAGCTGGCATGGTGCTCTGCTTATGCCTCTATGCTCCCAGTTCCAACAACTGAACTCTCCAGGGATCACAGTGCACAGTTTAGGAAGCACTGTCTTGTGCAAAGGTTGAAGGTCACAACAGACAATCTGAAAATCAGAAATTTTGATCTGACAAAATACTGCATACATTCTGGGCATTATTTTCAATTGCATTTCTCATGCACATTGTAAGCAGAAATTGGGGCTGGGAAATAAAATCAAAAATGCTCTAAGTTCTGATTCCTGATGCTGTACTTGGTAATGACATCTAAATTCAAGTCTGTTCATTTATCATCTGACTTCTTAATTATGTTTAATATACTTAGTTGTATCTCTAAAATGCTTGCATTTCTGAGGGGTGTGCAACAGGAATGCACAAAATGGCTTTTTGAAAAACACGTTGTTATATGAAGTCATCCTTTCATTTGTACATATTTCTTGGCACTAGAGCTCAGTGAGGGTGTTCAAAACACTTTGTATTTTAAGTAACTTTTGCTAAGAAACAGTACAACTCCTACCTGAACTTATGCAGTCAGACTTTGTTTGCAGATGCATCAATGTAACTGAAGAGAGAATTTACCCACTCCTTACAAAGTTACTATAAACAGTATTTGTTGACACAATAAGGTCTGGGACTATGCAGGTCTTGCTGAGTTACAACATGTACTGCTAGCAGGCTGCATCTTTTAAGCATACTAATATTTGTTTAAAACAGCACTATTTGGTCAATAAAATATTCAAGACTGATATACAATAAAGTGAAACCAATGGTTTTAATTTTTATTTTCAGGTCTGCAGGAGAGAGTACAAGCTTGTGTATGCTTTCTTACTGATATTACATGGCTGAAAGCTGTCAACTGTTCACATGGCATATTCATAAATATACCCAAATCATAAAGTTTAACTGTTTTTGCACATTGCTTTTATTACTAGACTGTTTTATTCATGTTTGCACAGATAATCCATGCAAGGTAATTACTCACATCTCATAAACCACCAGACATTCTGTTCTGAAATAACTAGGAACTCAGGAAAAAATATCTATCTAAAAGCAAGGGCACTTGTGGCATCAAGGCAACATGTCAAAATATTACAAAACCTAGACTTCTAATATATGATCACTGCAGGCAATAAATCACTCAGTTTCAAATTCTGATGTTTATAAATACTAAACACTGTAATATCCACTACCAGGATATGAGTATTGCAAAAAAAAACATTAATGTGCCCAGCATTAGACACTAATGAATGTGTTCAGTGCTGTGGACATTCACATTATTAAACATAAATACAAGTAATCTTCAGCAAAACATTTCACCCAAAGTACTGACCACTGAAGGACCAATGGAAAAATACTTTTCCTTGTCTTGAATTGGTTTTTGAATTGAGAATTGTAAAATGTGTGAATCCAATGTAGTGAAGACTAATGAAAAAAAGGTCCTAAAACTGTTTTTTTTTTTGTCCAGGTAATAAAAGTAGCCTTATTTGGAAACATTTAATTTGCCTCATTCTGCAAAAAGAACATCAAAAGAGAGAAAAGCATTAAAAACAGCTTTTGAATCCTTTGACTGAAAAGTTATTGAACACTTTTTAGTTAGACAAAAGACTGATCTTTTAAATTGGTCATTCAGAGGTACAGTACCTTTGTTTTATTGGGTAAAAACTCACGTTAATTAGAATGAAAAGAAATATTCAGAAGAACTTAGGACTTATCTCAGGCATCTCTTACAAGACATGAAACATAATCAAGTACACATTATTCATCTTGTATATTTTTGTACAACATTATTTTCCATGATAGTTAAAAGGTCATATTTTGAATTTTAGAGATATATATTATTATATATATAAGCATTTACCCTCTCCATATCACAAATGTGACACAGCAGAAGAGTATCAGCAGTTATGTGGTATTCTACCCCTGTGAAAGTTAAAATGCTACATTATTATTCACAAATTTCTGGTTCAGATATGTGCAAAAATTATATCTTAATATAGATATCAGGGGCAGGTACGTGGATTCCCTATTTTTGGACCACATTATGAAGCAGCACAAGTCATAACAGGAAATTTTTATTACATGATAATCCTCAGGGTATCTCTGTTCTTCACTCAGAGATATCGCTGTACCTCATAGAGTGATATGTAAACTAGCTTTAATCTCTCTTGCTCAGACACCAGCTGGAGCCAGGGCATGTGCTACAGTGCAGGTTCTCTGCCCAAGGAACTTTTCAGGACTCTCTCAAGCCAGTACAGCTCCCACTGAAGTCTGCGCTGCTGCCACCCTGCAAGCCAGCTCAGCTCTGCTCACACACACTGCATTCCCTCTCCTGCAGCCCAGACTTCAGATGTGCCACACTGGATCCTTGCTCACCCCTCTGTACGTATCCAAACCATCTCTCTGGGCTATGGCGAGCTACTTGCACCCTAATTTCTCACTTGAAGCCCTCTCCCTGGCTGTAGTGATCCTGGCTGCCCCCAGCCAGCCTCCCCTGCCCCACCCAACTCTGACATGCCAGCGTGGTGGAACTGCCCTTACCTGGCTATTCCCTGCTCCAACCCCAGCCTCAGGAAGGGCCCCCCATCTTTCCCACTCAACCAGAGGCCGCAGAGCCCCTGCGCTGTGGCAGCCTCAGGTGCTCGCTGTGCGGTGCCAGCCTCCGCTCCCCTGCCCGCCCTGGCAGCCCCAGGCGGTACCTGCAGGGGCCGTGAGGAGCTGCAGCCCAGCCACGCTGCCTGCCCGCAGCTCTCCACCGACTGCACTCCCTGACTGCAGCCCCACAGCTCCGGCCACACCCTAAAATGATGTATCCTCCGTGGTGCCAGTGAAGAGGGAGCTTAGAGGGACATTGAGGGGGAAGGTGGAGGGGAGAGTGACACACACATATAAACACATGCAGATCAGAGGGGAAAGACCTCGTGAAATTCTCCCGAGGCATCCATCACAAGCCCTTCCCATGGAGCCTGACTCCCTGTTCTGATGTTGCAGTCAGAGATTAGTCCCAGTCAGTGGCCAACACTGACACAAATCTGCCTAAAGAATATCTTCAATGCAGTCTCAGGATAGAGTATGCTGATGTGAATTCTCTCAAATAACAGATAATAATAAACAGCATTTTGTTGAATGGCACTGAGAAATGAAAAGGAAATGTAGAATTTTCTCACTGTTGTGAATATGTATTTAATGAAGTCAAATAGAAGCGGAAAAAATATTTAACTTCCATAATTATGATTTATGAGCCAGATCTTTGGAGTTTGTAATCTATGGGACCATATTCACACCAGCCCAGCACCGACTGAAAACAGAAAATTTGCTTGCTTACAGAAAAAAATCCAAAACAAACAAACAAAAAAAGGCTTTGCATATAATGTACTAGTGTTTTAGAATAATTCATGCATACAAAAATCTGACCCTGTAACAACTCAGATCAGATCACTGCTAAGATCAGTGAAAACTAAGATACCTACTGAATAAATACAGGTCATACATTTCAAAACTGCCACAGGCAGTTCAGGTGGTTATTTTCTGATTTCTCCATGATGCAGACTGCCTGCAGCTAACTTAACTCTTATTTTAGAACTCCAAATTTCATTTATTCCTCCCCCAAGCTTTGGATAGTTTTTCATCCCTTAAAAGACATACAAATGAAATGGGCATCACTCACGGGAGGGACAAGACAGACAATGTAATTTTTTGCTACTCAGAACACAAGGTAAAATAGGTGCAGATGGCACCAGCATGTGGCCCACAGAAAGCATCCTCAGCCTCAGAAGTACTAATTCAAAACTGTCAGTACTGCAAGCTGTCAACACACACACCATAATTCTCACTTAAATGAGTTAATAAAGGTTGAATGGTGATCAGACTTTCCATCTTAACTCCATCAGACAGAACTGCTGTCTCCAATATAAAAGTCACTGATATTCAAAAATTCAAAATTATTATCAGTAGTACAAGCATTGCTTATTTGAAAAAAAGAGTTTTATAAATAACTGTCTGAACAACTTGAAAGTTGTTCTTAAGCTATTAGGACAGATGCCTGGATGGTTATTAGAAAAGATGACTGTATGGTTATCCTAATTGTTGGAACATAGCTACTGTTTTCCAATGGCAATTACTGCTACAATTCATGATGTGCTGCATTTAAAGTAAGGAAAGGAATAAAGAGTATGTGCCTGCTGCCTTACGGATTTTTGATACACATTCATTTACTGTAAGAAAAAAAAGCCTTTTTCCTAATTATGTGGGATAGAGGAGAGAATTTTTGCAAACTATCTCCCACAACCTAGCTGTGCTAGATGGATGTGTTTCTTCTGTGTTCACTAGTGTGAAGGTCCAGATGTAGGTTCCTACCTCCCTCTAATATCAGTGGGAATTAGAAACCAAAGCAAGATTGAATCTCTTTTTTTTTTTCTGCAGGAGGAAAGGAAAACTGGTTTTGAATTAAAAGATGGCCTTTCTAGTCAGCTCTATTCCATTCAATATAAGAGCAATTTGGAGAAAGCCAGTTGTCCTTTTCCATTATGATTTGAAAGTGAATTATCTACTGTGCACATTGAAGCCAAGTGCACTAGCAAGGCTGACCCAACCATTTTATTTTCAAACTGTTATGGATTGTCACCTAGGCTTCCCAGCTACATATGGATTCAAGGCAGACTTGTTATTTGGAAAGAATCTAAAATATCTGATGCTATGGTGTAGCACCACAAGATAATGGAACAGCACTCACTTTTCCTAGAGGAAGCCCTAATCTATTTATTTCCCTTTGAAAGCTACAGCCTTTGGTTCTACAGATGACTGTACATATGGCACTTACTCATTCTTGCTGTGAAAGAAAATGACTTAATACAGAAGTATTTTTCCAGTTGTTTTTAAACACCAGTGTGTGGTCTAAGCAGTAAAACTGCTGTGGGTAGTTAACTTGAAACTATATTTGCACATTACCTTTTATAATAAGGTTTTTAGTTAATTTCAATATTTCCCCCAACTGTTGCTATAATAATGGACTAGTTCATGAGTTCATTTGGTTTTGAGTGCTCATTCAATAGGTTTTTGTATAAACTTCACAAAAAGCACGTTCTGCGTTTATGAAAGAGGATAAAGTTAAACTTGAGAAGTACCAACGTCTAGCTTTTACCGAGAGAAGTGCTAGCCATGGTTATCAACTTTATGATTGCCCAGTTAGTCATCTGTTTTACCCCAGCATTACTGACTACCAACTCTTCCTTTAAACATTGATGGCATGGGCATGCTTCTTGCACAGTGGCTTGTCCTTCTTGGAGAAGAATGGCTGACCTTCCAAATTCACATGGCACACCTAGAATTAATAATAAATGCAATCAGGAATAATTAAGGAAAAAGAACAGGGAGAAAGATGTGACTATCAGTTTCAACTGCATTGCTCTTCTGCCCATGCATTTCTTTGTTAGTCTTTAGAAGCCATATATTGATTTACTGTTGATTTAACCCACTGAAAGAAATCAAGTCAGGCTCTTAAAAAGACCCCCACTGTGAGAATTGCATATTGACAACACATAATAAAACTATCACTTCCACAGAAAATGGTGCAGCTAAGGCAAACAAACAAGCAAAAAATAACATGAAATATTCAGAGAAAGTGTCTTTTTGAGTAATCAATGTTTATAAGTAATTAAGAGCTGTTAGCTTGTGAAGGAAATTTGCTTAGTGTTCCTTTCTATGTTAGAATTTCCAAAATACTTCAGTTTCCACAAAACACTTTTTTGTAAAGCTAGTTTAGCTTCAGATATTTATAAACATTTCTATACTTTCAACTAGTCTACCTAAATTTTAGACTTAAACAAACATTAGAAATTGTCACTGTCAGTTTGGTGTGGCCAACATACTATTTTTAGCTAATTAGGGATTCTAGATATTATTACTTTAGGAATAATATGTTGCAGAGCTGCTCAGTGGTATTAGAACCAGATGAAAGTACTGTTTATCATATGGATTTTTCTGCTTTGTGTGAAGAGTGTGGGAATATGGCCACTCTCCAGAGCTATGTGCACACCACAGATTGATGAGTTTGACCAACTTCTATGCTAATTACTATTCATGCTCTCTAAACAGACTTCTTTTTGCAAGTTTCAACAAGCATTCAGCATGGAAATACAAACTTCACAGCTTTGTAAGTAAGATTATGGTTATATTGTTCAGTATGGTGTTAATTTATTTTCAGTTTTGCTCTATCTTTATTTGGCAAACACTGGAAAGAATAACAGCAATAGTGGTTTGTACTGCTGTATGTACTATCTAAAACTGGATGTTTTATTAGAAAACACTCACTTATGATGGTCAAATTCCATAATTCTAGTAAAAGTTATGGAGGAGAAGAAAAATTACTCCCATCCTTCTCCAAATGGAAGTAAAGAATGAAATTTCATCCCTCTACATCCTTAAGCACATGTTAGTTATTACTGCTTTCGGGTTTTCTGATGTTACAACACAATTTAGGAGTATAAAGGAATGAGACAGTATTTGATGTAGAACCTACAGCACAAATGAAGCAGGTGTCATGCCAAGTGTGTCCAAGAGCTTCAATGAATTTATCTCCAGCTTCAACAGGATAATCACAGCCATGACATTTTGTGCTGAACAAAGCAATATAATCTAAAATAAAACAAAAAGCAAAACCCTTAACATAATCATATTAAGTCCAAAAGAAATAGAACGTTTCCAGACAATTAATGTTTTGATTGTTTTTGCTCAGTTTCCTACTACATTTACTGAAATACTCCTACTGAAATATGCTTCTTTTCTTTCATTATTTCAATACAAACTCAGTCCAGAACCCCCCATTAGTATGACATTTATCATCACAAATGTAGAAAACACACCAAAAATCCATGGAATTTGAAGTTGTGTTGCTCACAATACTTTCAAGTTAGCTCTAATGTATTTGGAATTTAATCATAGGACAAATATGGTTGTACAAAAGAGTCTAATGACAAGGGAATGTTACAAGTTTCCATGCCTGTATTAATGTTCTTTTTGCATAAAGAGAGAACATTATGGAAACCCCATACTGCTGATTTATACATCTTTATCAAGTGTGATTTGGAAAGATTTGACATTGAAAAATATTAGTGGAAATTCCAAAGGTATATGGAATCCATGAGTGTTATTTGATGTTCTGACAAAACCTCCAGTTTTGAAGGGTAGGGACCCAGTCAGCCAGGCTGTATGGCGTTTTTTCTTCACTAAGAGCTACTCTGACTTGTAAAATTTGAATTGTGTAACCATAAGAAAGGAGAGGAGAAGTAGGCCAGGAGCTCGCTGAATGCACAAGGGGAATACAAAGGGAATACCACTTAAACCTTAACCTCCTTCCTGACTATGTCAGGCAACACATTTGCGTGGCAAGTACCATTTTTGGGAAACATGGCCTTTTCCTTTCTTAGCTGGTAAGAAGCAGATTGTTTGTTGCAGCAGCCAGGAAGCAAAATCTGCACCACCATGTGCTGCACATCTGTGCAGACCTATCTCTTCAAAAGCGTTGGTTGAACAATTCTAGCGTGAGGCAACAGCATCAGAGGTCACAGCTCCACCAACTCAAAAGGACAGCCCTAGAAGACTGATTTTTCATTTCTGGTGAGCAGAATCTACCAAGGAGGGGAGTGGAACAGGAGAAAATGTGTAGGGAAGGAAGTGCAAAGTATGATAATATATAAAGGAGAGAAATGAGGGAAGGCATTGTTGACATTGAGGCAAAGACCAGTGCTCTGCCATTTTCTCATAAACTGGAGAAAAATACAGACACAAACATTTGGATATGTGAAGAGTGGAAACAAAACCCATACTGGATGGGGAACTGATATTATTTTGCACACCAGCTGCTTTATTCTTATGTTGCCTCCATGAACATGAAGCACATAATTACTGTGCAGAACTGTCCAGACTGCCATACCTTTCTCACAGTAAGGCTCCCCATCCTCCATGTGGAACAGGCTATTCCCAAATGGCTTCTTACAAGCAGCACAGACAAAGCAACTCGTGTGCCAAGTCTGTCTTAGGGCATGCATCACTTCCTGTAAAACAAACAAACAAACAACCAAAAATCTCCAGCAGAATAGCCAGGCCTGCAACTTCCTCCTGGAGAACAAACACAAGGCAGAGATGCTGTAAATTCTTCCCTTCTGGATCAGCTAGTTCCCCTCCTCAAAAGAAAGAATTATGGCAGAAATTGGGCTCCTTTTGGAAAGAAAGAGGAAATAGGACTGCAAGCCTTCTAGAACAATGTATTTGCCAAAGTGAAACAACATGGTTCAGCCAGCAGTTTATATCAACATGCCCAGTCGCTGTTGCAGGAGGGATTCTGCACAAAGATTCTGATTATTTTCTCCTTTGTTTTGACCAGTATGAACTCTTCAATGCAAGAGTATGATTTGTTAAATAAATTTAAAAGAGTAATTTTCTAAGCCAAGGAATAAGTGGTGTAAGTCTGTTGTTTCAAAATAATCAAGACTCTGTAGTTCTTTATAAGAAAAAAAACCAGTTTTTGTAATTGTTCTTACAAGAACAATTCACAAACTAAAGTAAAAATCTAAAAAAGCCAAAAAAAGGAAAAGTTCTTTTAATGTATATGATGAATAAAAATGAGTCTGCATGTCTGTTCCTAAGCCATGTGTTTATCACAAAAATCCCCAATTCTCTGTGTGTGTACAACTGATGTTCTCCTCAGCTGAGTACATCTAGGTTTTATCAGCTTCTTACTTCTGTCCAGTATGGAGAAATCTCTATTACTGCTTCATTCTTTTGTCATACAGAAGTCTTCCAAGTCCAAAAGCTGCGGTACTGGGCTCTGATGCAGTTACCTGCTAATTTGTCAATCTTACGTGTAGCCAGGATGTGTTTGACAGTGTATCTCTCTCCAACAGCCTAGATTGCAAAGGGCCAGCTGCATAACTGCTGTAAATTAACTTTATTAACTTCAGTGAAACAGCATTGATTTATACCAGCTGAGAATCGAGATTCTATTTTATGTTGCTTCCAATTATACACATAGACTCTGATTCTCTTTTAAAGATTGCTTTTAATGTCCACTGATTATGAGAAAATGGATTGAAGTCCTCTTCCACGCTTTCAATCCAGTAAATAGACAGAACAGTCTAATTTAGATTTGCCATATATCTCATTAGAGAATCACCATTTGAGATTCATTAACTTCTGTTACTGTTTGCAAAACAACTATTGCTGATAAATAGGTTTGGATCCATTTATGAACCTCAGTGAGGTAAGAAGCAAAAATAGCTTGAGAAATCTTATTAATATAAATAGAGGCAGCTGGCATCTTTGCTATTTTCCTGATGAAAATCCATAATGGGAAACTGATTTGTGCCAGCATTCATTAGGTAGGTTAAGTCAGCACTCTGCTATAAATTAATCCTTCTGCTGCAGTAGCAAACAAGACTTGGCTGGAGCCAGAGCTTCACCATCGATGTCTGATGCTGCCACCCCTAATTGGCAGTTGCAGAGAAGAGCATCTGTAATGCCAACATTTAGACAGATGTCAAAAGGTGACAGCTAAGCAGTGAAAAACCAGTGGGGGACTCCTTGCTTCTTCATCTGAGTCATACATTCACTACAACAGCATGCATAAATACACTGCTAAAATTATTGATGGTATTCCAACCTCACCACCATCTAAGGTATGTGGAGAGCAAATTAAATTATACATTTACTTGTATATTAGTCCTTTAAGACAAAAGTGGAATTTTGTCTTTCGCTTTATTGGATATTATTTTTGGCTTTGTGGAATTCAGATCTTTGTATTTATTCAGTATTTTATTAACTATAAGAAACCAGTAGGACTTGCCAGCAGCTGTGCTGCTAACCAACAGGGCGGTGCAACAAGAGCAACGGGCCTCTTCCCAACATCACTGATTTCTCTACTGAAATTTTGACTAAATCCTGTGTAAGAAATAAAAACCCAGTTCAAGTCTCTTGTAAATAAGAGAGAGGTAAAAGTAACATAGTGTTTATCAGATAGCAAAAAACTACTCAGAAAGTGTTACATAATTTACACTCAGTGAGATGGTACCTGGGTTACATATTCCGTCTGTGAGCTCAATAAGGTACAGAAATATCCAAGACTTCAGATGGATAAAAATGATTATAAAATAATATGTTTCTCATTCTGAAAGAATCAATAAACTGGGAAATAAGTCTTAAAAGGATGAAATAATAAAACATCTACATTCCCTGCTTACAGTCTAAACTCTTTCACTGTTTCAGGGATCCATGCAGTTGCAGGAAGGGTTAATGTTGTCTCTTACCCCCATAATCTTAGTGTGGCACCTGGCACAGGTCGGTGCGAAGAACTGTTCGTAGCAGCGCTCACAGTACACACTGTTCTGCTCCTCCACAAAGCACATATCAGCCAAGGATGTCTTGCAGTAAGCACAATTGAATTCTTCTGGGTGCCAAGAGCGACCCATGGCTACCAGGAAAGGACCTCTGGAAGCAATCATAATTTATTTGTAATCTTGTTTAATCTTATTTGTATTGTGCAAAAAAGGTTGAATGACCCTGACTGCAACTTTGTCAGACACCACGTACACGTGTAAGAAGCTACTTGAACCATGAGGTGCATATTAAAATGACATTCAGAAACCTGAACAGAAGTGGTCTTTTTCAAGACCATTACTCAAAACACACTGGTTAAAACATTTCATTATTGTTTGGTCTCATACACTGCACAGATAACTGTTGGAAAAAATCAATTGTTTTCATATCTGCATAGCTATAAGTGGTCTTTGTAAGCAGATGAAAAGACAAGAGGAAAAGGCCAAAGGCAACAGAAGATGATGGTACTCTTTGAAAGCATGAAATAACAGGCAAATTTCCATCTTTGCACACCCACACCTCACAACAGCTCCTAAAGTCTCCTACCTTCCTTCTGTCTGACAGCACTGAGTGCAGCATGTTCTAGAAATGTCAGATTATCAGGTGACAACTTGCTGTTTTGTTATGTGGAAGACACATTCAATTCATTTTGGTGATTGACTCTGCTGATTGTAGTTAGATACAATGATTATTACTGGAATATTTCCATTCCAGAATATATGAAGGGCAATAATCAGCAGTTCCACATCACCAAACTAGCTCCTTTCAGTAGGGAAGACTGTCATTAAACATGGATTACTTAAGTTGGATAGCAGTGCCCAGGCTAACAGTAGGCACTGGTCCAGCAGAATGAATTGGGAGAGAAGGGAGAGGCATGCTATGAATCACTGCTAATAGAGTGTAGGCATTATCTTTCTCCAGACACAAAAGCAACAATTACATTTGGCTGCTGTCCCAAAATGATGCCTTGTTCCTTTTCTCTCCACAACTCCCCCCTCTGCTCCCAGCCCCCTAACTCTCCCAAGGAAGTTGCACGAACCTCCTTCAAAGGGTTACCTTAGGACCAGAAACCTGTTTAAAATCAAGCAGGGATTTGCTGCAGCATCCAAGAGCCAAACAATTAGCATGTATAACTTTGCAGTGATAAAAAGTGAACCACACAACAACAAAATGAGCTCTGGAAATGTTAAATTAATGAAGCAGACAACAGACATCCCTGCTGGATAATTTAACAGAGTCTTAGGCTCTGGAATTGTATATTAATGTACAATAAGCAGTCTCTCTGATACTTTTTTTCCTGCTTCATCCCTCTTCAAAGGCCCAGGACCTTACCGAATGATGCTGTTACAGTGCCCGCAGAGAGGAGTTCGGCTGCTGGCTGGAAAACGCTCCGCCCTCTGCACTGTTCCCCGGGCTAGTGCAGGGGGCTGGGAAGAACTTGAAACTGGAGACGGGTAAGCAGGAATTGTGGCAGGGGAGAGCACTGGAGCACCCCTTGGCAGGATGTGCTTTGTGACAGTGGTGGTGGATTTTCCAGGTGCAAATTTCTGGGAAAAGGAGTCATCTGTTACCCAGGGAGGGCGACTCGCAGGCTCCGTGTTGGCAGGGGTGTAGGAATGGACTGGTGCTGGTGCTGGCGCTGTTTTAAGTATTCCAAAAGAAACCAAGAAAGATTTTATTGAATTTTTCTTCTACTGTCAATACAGCAACACTTACCAAAGGGTACTCCACGACACACATAAATAATAAATAAAAGCTTTAGGTGACAGTTAATTATGGCCTGCCCATGGTTGCTCATTTATTCTGGGCTGAAGCCAAGGGTATCAGCACAATCACTGACTTCTCATATCATTGCCCCCTGGCTTTTACAGATTTTATGGAGAATATTGTCAAGATCATCTCTTCACTTTTTTGAGGGAATGGATATGACAATTCTGGTAATGTCAAAGACTGCCATATACTCTGTTTAAGACATAAAAGCCAGATAATATAGTAAAGTTTTAGATACAATTCCCCAGAATTTCAGTGTTATGCTTAACTTTTCATCTCATTATATTAATTAAAATACAACATGTTCTGCAGATGTCACTATTATCTATAACTTGTAGGTTTATTCCTAAGTTTTTGAAGAAAAACAGGCTCCCACAGGGAACACAGAGATAGAGAGCACTGGAAGCAATACTGAGGGAGCCGATTCAGCTCACATGAGCAGCAAGATAAAGCCAACAGCACTTAGAGGAAGGCCAGACTTGTGGTTATGACTGATCTCAGTTCAGTTCTTGGCTCTGCCACAAACTTCCTGTATAACTTTGAGCAAAGCAAAGTGTGTCTGCGCCTCAGTTCCTGTGTGCAAAACAGAATATTATCCTTTCTCTCTTCCAGCCTTTGACTAGCTAAAACCTTCAGTGCAGCCTGTCTCTGTGTTTGTGTGCACCAGGCTCTAATCTTGGGTGGAGCTTTATCACATTAAAATAAGCAGGAGCCAGGGCCTGCACATACTGACAAGTTTTCCCATTATCCTGCTCCTTTCAAAGTGTCAGATCTTGCATTATGTAGGGCTGAAGTTGCTGCCCAAGAAACAGCCTCACTTTGCCAAGTGCAGGAGCACTAAAAGCAGTTTCCCTTTGCAAGGAAAACAAAGCAAATGATTGAAAAGAAGCTTGGAGAGCTGAAGTGTTTTGCCCAAATGAGAAAGCACAGGCTTGGGAACAGAAGCCAGTTCTCCAGCAGTCTGGGCAAACATTCCACACAGCAGATCCCAGCACCAAGAAAATCACAACCAAATACAACATCTACAGGTTTAAGGGACTTGCATGTAGAAAGGTATTTCAGGGTGAAATACCTGAAAGTAACATGGATCTTTCTGAATAATTAAGTGGTGAGAAGTTTATGTTCGATTTAACACCCGTTCTTCAGCCCACACCCTGCCACAAAACAACTTACACTGATTATTGGCAATTTGCAAGTGCTTAAATTGCATATATATCAATGCACTGTGATCACCCTTGGGATCTTTTTATTGAGGTCAGAGTTGAATCTAGTGCATTTTCTTGATAAAAATTTCTTATGGTACAGCATCAGCAATATTTCTGCTTCATAAAATTGTATCCCACCTTAGCTTGAGGCTTTTTCTTTTTTTTTTAACTTAGAAATGGTAAACAGTATTTAAATATTTCAGAGCAGAGTTTATTTGCAATCTCTTTAGATCCCGAGGGTCTTGCTATTTATGTAATATGGTATTAAGATAGGCAAAATTAGAAGTTAATATTTCATCTCCAATTGATGAGTTCATAAGGCTCCCACCTATGAGGCTAATTAAACAAGGTGACTTCAGCTCACATCACTACATTCTCTCTACCTTTTATTTTTCACTCTTTCTGTTCTATTTGCTGCAGTAAAACAAAGAAACAGAAAAAAGGAAAGTAAAATAAAACAACAAAATGGGATTTTTTTCCCAGCTACTAAAAGGAAGTACCAGAGGAATTACTGCAAAATGACAAATGCTGGGTGTTTGCATCTGCTCTGAGTTCTCTTTTCAGCTGTTGTAATTTAATTTTACAGGCCTGATTTATTACAATATATTTTCCTCCTGTGAACAAGCTGCAATTACTATTGCTTCAAAATAGTATCACTGCAACATATTAGAAAGATTTCACTAACTTTGAGATTTTAGCAATTGTTATTAAAAGGGAATTGTCTTATTTTCTTAGAACTATATCCCTAAGCTTATATGAACAATTATTTTCTCTTAGTATTCACCTTGAATGTTTATGTATTTCAAAAAGTCTTCCAACACCAACCAGGAGAAAAAAAAGGATTGATAAGCTGCTAAAAATGTACTAAGATTCAGTACATCAGAGAATATATTCTCAAAATACCAGTATTGCATGAGTTGACCATTAACTGTTAAAATATGAATACTTCAAATTCAGCAATTTAGCCTGTATCACCTTGTTTCTCTCAGCCCTCATGTTCTCTTAGAATAGGAAAGAATGAATGGCATTACTGTTGTCCTGACAGAATGGCAGGAGAAGAGGTCTCTCTTAACAGGAGTAGGAACAAGCCAATTCCTTGCTTCTGGGAAAGACGGAATTCTCCCCCTCAGCTCTTCATTTATGGCCTATGGCTATTTTCTCTCCAGAAAAAAAGGCACATTACCAAGACTCATGCAGTAAAGCAAAGGTTTATAGAGTCTCAAATGCTTTGGTCACACAGACTTGCACTGTGAGATACTTTTCCCCCCCTTTTTAGTAGATGACATAAGCGTTACTCTTTATTATTATCAGTACCAAAATAAATTAATAACCACAACTGATATGGCTTGTTCTACAGTTAGTGGCCACATCCTTGAATCCCAAAAGTTTTCCCATATACTGTTGCAGTACAGAGCAGATGAGGTTTTATAGGGAGACACTATTATAATTTAATGAATTAAAAATGAAATAATGGTGTGGAAGCTGCTGTTTTAGTATTGAAGGTGCTTAGGATTCAATATAAAGTTCATTAAGAACTGTGGGAATCTCTCTACCAATTCCTCAAAGAGCAGATCAGTCCTTTACACTTGACCGATTTTGCATACCCAAGTAGGCCCAGTTGGACGTAGGGATTTAAAAGGAAATATCTACTTTCTTACATTTAGGTATTGTGTTACTTCGTGGTGCAGAAATGGAGCTGGAGTTGTTTGGCATACGTGAAAAGTCTGGGAATGCCTGCGGGAAAGGAATACCCAGGTATGTTCTGCCATCTAGTGGGCTTTGCTCAGAAGAGAAGCCTTTAAAACACGAGTTAAGAAATTTAGGGAAAAGATTTCAGAGTTCCCAGCCTTCTCTACTGGAAAAAAATGAAAGATCTTTAGCAGCAGAAAATCTGCCACCTGAATTAGGTTAGGGAAAGTGTAGACTGCCTGATAAATCCCATCTGAGCCCGATAATCAACAATGCAGTTTCATTTTGAGAATTGTTTCAGTTTGTTTGGGTTTTAATTTCAATCTGACATTAAAATAGCCTTGTGAATCCTCTCAGTGACTGATTCAGGAGTCTCTGTATTGAATATATGAGCCTGTTGATTGGTGTTTTAATCTGGAAGTTGCTGCCCCACATTTCCAAGGGAAGCCAGTCATTGACAAAGTTGGATAAGGACATTTTCTAACTGTCTTGGTGGTTTGTTTCTAAGTGCTATTGATTTTCCCCTCTGTGACAGGGAATGCTATTTCCTTCATTTCTTCCCAAGTGGCAATTTCCCATTTGCTCTGCAACTGTCTCTGAGGACAGCTCATGCTCCAAACCCACTCTGAAGTGCTACTACATCAAATATATAACACTTTTTATAAAGTACCAGAACAAGAACCAAACATCTTCCCTGAAATCTCTGCCTGGAACCTCTCTTGTACCTGAGTCGCTTCAGGGTTCAATTATGAAGGCATTTTAAAACCCCTTATTGGATATTTCAAACTTCTAAACAGTACAGAAGGACTTTTTCTTTCTCTGCCAACTATTTAAGCCTTTATTGAGAGGCAATGAGGCTCAAAAGTAGCAACATAAGGAATTTCACAGGAACACCAGCAATTTAAGGAAGTGCAAAGAAGATGCCCAACCTAGGAGAAAACAAAAGCCTTTCCTCTTATTCCAAGCAGAATTCAACAGCCAGCTTTGACTTTACCAGGTCCAGCCAATAACTGGAAATAGCTGCAAATGTATTTCTGTGGCAGGTTTGTATATTGAACTGGAGTTTATACTTCCCCAAATGAGCACAGGGCTTAACATCAGTCAGTGTATTTAGGAGATATTTTGACTTGCCAGAGTTTGCTCTCTTCTGCATTATAGAAATAAATCTGCTGTGGTCATCTTTTCGAGTCAGAAATAATAGCATTTGCCTTGAGTGAGAACATGTTATACACTGGCACACTTAACCAAAAGCAAGTGAGGAGAAGCTGAAGGTTTATTTACTTTGAGACCCTTAAATAGCTCATGAGAGCTCTGCTTGTCTTTTTCTACCTTTATGTCTCAAATATAAAGGTCAATTGATTTGTCTGTCTGCTTTATGTCTAGCTAAAATTCCTACATTTGTTTAATTTCAGTAGATCCAGAAATAGAACATTACAGAAGACAGGGTTTAAGACTGTTAGAATTGTTGGCCTTTTCATGTTTATTTGACTGTAAAGATATAAATCAACTTATTAATTCTCTTGCTAAGGTCAGAAAAACCTTAATTTGAAACAGAACTGCCTTTAGACTTATATTGCTGTCTCATTTAATTCATTCAGTTTGAAGGTTCACATTTTGGTCTTCAATGGTTTTAGAAGCTGAGTCCATTTGTAACACATTAATACCAAGGGAATTTAAATAATATCAAGGAGTATATTTTCCAAATGAATGAATAACCAAATATATTCCTTAAGTTACTGTCTCTGGGAAATGGAATAGCATTATGAGGTGCTTAAATACCTAATTTATTTATTCCTTAAATAAATGAGGTATTTAAATAAATACCTTATTTATTTATTTATTTATTTGTTTATTTCAAATATAAGCCTAAGTTTGAGAAATTCAATATACGGTCTTAACTATTTTGCAAATATATCCTACTCAAGCAAACTCCACTTATTTTACCTCCTTCCTGAACTGTACATTCTTTTTTTTAGCTATTTTCTCAATTCTGTAGTGTCATTGGGCTCCTAACTGGATAAACTCTTATTTTCAAATGTATATCTTCTGAAAAATCAGGCCATACATTTCTTATTAGACTTTTCCCTTGCTTTTATTTTACTATCTGTTTGTTTCACATTTTAACTGTGAAGTAGAATACAAATACAACATAATCCTCAATCTTCAAATGATCTGAGGCAAAACTAGCAACATTTAGACCCACATGTTTGAATACTTTCTGGTATATCTGTGTAAAAATGTGTGCTTTCTACATTTTCTTTTCCCAAAAGAAATGTGTGAGCATTTTTTTTTTCTGAATCTTTGTAGTACTTTGAAGGCTCCTTACCTGGCTGGTAGACAGAGGGCTTTATGCTGGCAGTAGTAACAACTCTCATTTTTGAAGCAGCAGAAGGAGCAGGACTTTCACTGTAGCCTCCAGAAACTGGCATTGGTGTATATGACTGGGTTGTGTTTCTAAAAGCAAAATGTAGGTGTGAACAACTTCATAAAGAGCAAAAGTTACTGATCATGATGTCAGAGATCTGGCAACATCCAGAGAACTCCAAGAGGAACTGTCTGTGAAAAGTACAGAGAGAATGCTGGGAGATTCATCAGTCTTTGTCATTGCTAAGGAAGCTTTGGACAATTCTTTGGAAAGAAAAATTAGTCAAATAAGGATTTTAAGTAATGGCAAGTTTGCTGTTCTTATATCAGAGAAAATAGCTTGCTGAGGGAATATGATAAATTTGAAACTCAGTAAGAAGGGATCAGACTTTACAAAGCTGCACACGAAGTTTTGTTTTCTGTTCCTCTGCAAACAAAAATGACTGGTCTTGTCTAAGATAAATCAATGAATCATATCTGGACTTAAAAATATACTTGCTCAGCACAATTATTACTATTACAAATGCTAATTAGTGTGTACATTTATGTTAGATTTATATTTATATTATAGTATTTATATTTATAACTCTAATATTAATATTTATAATTAGATATTCATATTTATACAATATATTTATATTATATACATTTATACTGTTATACTATTTTCAAAAATATTGAAATGATCTTTAAAAATTTTTCTGAAACTAACTCTTTTCCCTATTTAGACGGAAAAATTTACATTAATATTCCTATTGTTCAGATTCATCCTTCAGAAAAAAACCCATATGAAATGCAATATTGATGCACTTTCTTCCAGTCCTAGAATAAAAACATTTTCTCAGGATTCCAAAAATCAGTAAGAAACAGTTTTTCCCTATCTTATGGATTAGATGGTGATTCTCAGTTTGATTACAGTAACAGATTATATAATTTGCCTCTTCTATCTGCAGTTACTTGGGGTGATTCTGTTTGTAGTGCCTGTGCTTCACAGACTGCTAAAAGAGCATCACAGTCAAAGCAAGCAAGAGAGAATAAAGAAGTACAGAGAAGGGAAGCAACAGACAACAAGATGTGTGCAGTAAGAAAAACCTACTCACTACAGAACATCCTTCTTACTCACCCTGAAAACAGTTTTGTTTGTTTTTTCCCTTCAGTGTCACTCCCCCTAGGAACTAGATCCCTATCTATTTGTGCTGACAGCTAATGAGTTATTTCCAAAGTGGGTTTGTCTAGAGGAAAACGTTTGTCAGCGTATGAAAAGAAGCATCCATCTTTCCCAGACTACTCATCCATCTTGACTTTACTTTCTTTAACAGTGGAAACAGATGCCATCTGGAGAAAACACGTTATAATCTTACGTAGCAAACCCAGCAGATTTCTCCCAATACAGGTAAGAAACATTCTGAGGAATGGAAACTTTCAATTTTTAATTTTGAACAAACTAAACCTGTCCTCAATGTAACTTTTTGCTGCTCTGACAGTGTTTTTACTACAGATTCAGTTTGCATAGCATTGCTACCTCAGGCTCATTTATTTTGTCTATGTAGCAAACCTAGAAACTTAGCTATTGCTACAATGGCTATAGCTAATTATTTCTGTACCTAGTCTAGGGCTTAGGCCTGGATTTGAGTCCACTGTACCATGAGTGAACAACAGTTTATCTCCAAGATAAACTATTTTAGTGGGTTTGTATTCACTGCAAATTCTGTTGTGAACCCTGCTGTGCTTTTGTAACTGCCAAAGCTGTTCTAAGCGCTGTCAGACTTTCTGGGTTCCATCCTTACCATCTGTTTCCTGATGATACCTCCTGTGAGGTGCCTAAGAAGGCACTGTACTTGGGTTCACTGGACAGAGGCCATTTATTCCTGCCATAGCACAGGGACACTCTGGCTTCACCCACAGCTTTCAAAATGCCATCAGTTAAACACACCATCTAAAGACTTGTCCTTGTTTTAAAATCTGATACTCAGGGTAAACTACACAGCTCAGTGCCCAATATTTATAAAGATTTATAGAAGATTTTAAAATGACATGTTGCACAGCCTGAATCTGAAAATGTCATCCAGTCAGGAAAGTCTACTCCCAGGTGCACAGATCCAATGGTTAGAAAGACTCATTTGGATTTCTCTTAATGCACAAAATAAATAAAGAAGTTCTGAACCAGATTAGTAATATTTAGACTGCCATAAAGAAAAATGGTTATTAAAAATTCAAGTGTTTCCCAAATATAATAGCATAGTAAAACCATACCACAGATTTCCTTGTGTTCAGGGAAATGAAGCTGAAAAAAAACCCGAAACAACACCCCCCCGCCCCCCATTCATAGTACCAAAATCAAAGCAAAATTAAAAGTAGTACTGAATCCTTTTATCCCTTTTACATGTGTATGATGCATAATAAATACAGTAAGAAAGGTAAGAAAGCTTATCAAAGAGAAATAAAGTGTTATACTACATCATTAAAGGTTTAGTGAAAGAAAAGGTTTATCAGCATTTCTGCTGAAGAAAAGGAAATGGCATGTGATTAAAAGAACAAAAAAAAAAAGAAAGAAGAAAGAAGAAAATTAAGAAAGAATAAAAAGATGTTGTAAGGACCAAAGATGCTTTAATGGATCAAGAAGCACTGGCATCTCAAAAAGCAGTGAAAGCAACTTCATTGGATTTATCTGTAGCAGTCAATGGCATGTGACAGGCAGCAAATTAAACACCGGCTCTGAAAACTATTAGTTGTCAGAAAAAGAAAGAGTAAATATTTCTAAGCAGATCATTTTTATGTTAACGCTTCAGTAGATGCCTACTGGTAGCAATAAACTGGTTTGTTAAGTGCTTTTAAGGTAGAATAGCTGCACAAAACAGTTTTATACCTCTGCTTTGACTGGTAGCTGATGGAGGTGGAAGAATGCCGGTTGAAACTAAAATGAGACAAAAGTGGTATTTGAAAAAATATACACAAAAGATTGGGATATCTTGCCCTAGAATGAATTTTCTATGAGTAAGAAGGACTCTTAAACTAAAGTAAACAACACGTACATATTTATAATCATATATGAGTATTAGATTACATTTTGTTTTCCTATTCAAGCTGGGAATCACAAAGAAACCTGAAATGGTAACATAAGTCAGTGAGCTGAGAGCTCCATAAGTCTCATCTGATCTTGTTATTTGATTGTGGAACTCCAATTATTTTTATTAGCGGAAAGAAAATAAATACAAGGGATTTTTCTCAGTGTCATAAGTTTACATTGCATCAAATATGAAAAGCAAACCTTGAATAAACCAAAGGCCAAATATCAGGGAAGTGCCCCAGCCTGTGAGGCAGCTCAGACAACCCCATGGAAAGGACAGACAGGCTGGTGTAGTTGAAGCAGAAACATCAACCCACCATGTTCAATTTTTGCCTCGCAGAACCTTTCTATTGCTACAGTCTTAAGTAAACAGGTAGATTTATTTTTTTCTTGGGGAAATAGTGTAATTTCAGAACATAAATGAGTCATTTATGCAAATACAGGAAGTACTTGAAAGCCTGCACAACGTATGATCTGAGAAACAAGAGGATTCAGAATGAACAGAGCTCCTGTCTGCAGGGCAGTGCAGGGCTACTGAGCATCAATCCCATCCCACAGGGGCACAGCCCACATTTCCCAGAGCCACCAAGAGTCTGTCTTATACCAGTTATTATCCTAACTTCTGGAGAAGAGTTTTTCTTCTCTTTACCATGGACACAGTGCTTGGATTAAAATCTCCGGATCAGAAGCTACACTTGACTTTCAGAACCATAATTGTAACTCTTTCCATTGTTTCTCCTGGTTTTGTATTCCCAGGGTGCTGTTTCATGGGGCACCCTGCTTTAACCCTCTGGATGGAATAACCCATCCCTGAAGAGCTTCAAGCTTATTCAAAACTCTCCTGCTGTGCTTGCTTCTTTTAAGTAAGATTGTAAGTGGAACAGATAAGAGTAAGTCAGATTTCACTGCAGATGTAAAAGAGTAACACACTCTGTTAAAGATTAGTGATTTACTCCAAACATTCCTCTTCAGGAACATTATAAAGATTTTACTCATGTTAAGTGTTATGCATATGCTCACAAAAGCTAAGTCACTACAGAATAGGACCTACTAAAGTTTAAAATCAGATTTAAATAGTTAAGGATATTGATCAAGAAATCCTCCTGCCTTTTCTTGGTGGATGTTTTTAAAGCATCTAAACAGAAAAAAACCACCTAACAGTAGAAGAATGGTAATAAAATCTCAGCCTCATCTACCCGAGGATATTCCCATCCTGTAAAACAGTGCTGTAATTAAGGTCATCCATATTCTTTTTTAAAATAAAATTATATTAAATGCTCAATACTCCTCTGGTATATGTCAAGCTAAAACTGGATTTTTAAGTCTGTATTTTGGCATGCTAAAGCATTGCTTGATTTCTAAATGAAAACTACCAGATGCTCAAAAATTTGAATTATAAATCAATTTAGAAGCCAGTTTTATTCCCTTACATTTGAATACACTAACTATAACACACAACACTTTTAAAAACAAACATGGAAGAAGTGCACCAAGATAAAGAACCTATTCCAGCTGCAAGACAGCCATCCAAAACCAACCAACCAAGCAGAGTTCACTTCTTGTACTTGATTATCAGGGAACCAAATTTTTACAGGTCCTAAAGGCTCTGATTTGCCCTTGATGTGCCAAGACTTGCAGAAGCCAAGACAGTAATTTTTGCCTGTTGGTAACAGGGAAGCAGATGACAGCATCACACTTGTGTCATCCACTGACAAAGCAGCAGTGTATAAAGTTGATATGCTGTAGATCTTTTACATGTGGCCAGGTGCCAGCAAGAGGTTTTAGGAGTCTGATTAGAGCATTTCTTTTTTAAATGGACAGATGTTTTTCATAGATTCACAGACATTTTGAGGTTGGATAGGCCTCAGAAAGAATCTGATCTAACCTGCTGAAAGCAAGGCCAGCTCTGAGGTCAGACCAGGTTGCTCCATGCTTTATCCAGTGATGTCTTGAAAACCTTCAGGAGTGGAGATGCAGCCTCCCCAGACAAGTCACTTCCTTTCAAAGGGGCAGGAAAAGCAGCAGTGGTCCATGCCAATCTATTTCACTAATTTACTTTCAATTCAAATGCCTCAATATCTCAATGTCATTTTTTTATCCTCTTTAAAATTTTGTTTCACACCGATTAGTCCATGTTGGTACATAACTACAAATTAATTAATATGGTTTTGGGCCTCACACTCCTTCCCTTCTCCCATTAAATGCATATAGAATTTAAGGGAAATGGTAAAAAGCTCAATCAAAAAATAGTATTACATTAGCTCTAAGAAAGACATGCAAGTAGTGTCAGCAAGTACTGGTTATCTTTATACTAACTGATTAGCTGTTTATATGTAAATGATGCATAATTGCTGCTTAACTTGTCCCTGCCCATGGAACTAGATGATCTTTAAGACCCCTCCCAGCCCAATCCATTCTATGATTCCATGATTTCCAAGGCAGGAATGAAAACAAGCTCTTAGGAAAGATTTAGATGCATCCTAAAACATACACTGGTGAAACATGAATAGACGTGCTCTGTCTGGACAGAGTAGTCACCAAAGCTTCCATTTCATTTCATCTTCTGACTGATTTCAATCTTCAGCTGAAAGAATCCCTAAAATCAAGTATTTTCTGTAGCTCAGAAGAAGTAATAGGTTTTGCATGCCAATGCTTAATCAAACTCAAATATGCAGTTATTATTGCTTGGAAAGCAAGGAATCTTACCTGAGTAGAAGGAGCTTCTTGAAACTAAATTTACAATTGGTGTACTTCCACTCATCAGCAATCAGTTTTATTCCTTATGTTCTATCAGTTCTACACTGGGATTACTTCCCCTATGTAAGTCCCATGGCTGGAAACAGACATGTTCACATCCTAAAACTAAAAACTCTTTTAATATTTTGTTCTGTAGCTGTTTCATTTTTGCATTGGTTTCAGTGATGTGAAGCCAACTGAACTGCTATTAAATACTTCCTGTGCCAAGCACTTAACTGTTCTGTGATTTTCTTGAGAAATACCATTATACCTCATGCCGTCATTATACTCAAGCCTTCCAACTTGTGCCCTTTGTCAATTTCAAACATCAAACACCTTGGGTGATTCCTAACTATTTTTTAATATAAAGATAAAACACACATTAATCTGTTAATTACAATCACAAATGTATTGCTGATTTAGTTTTTTATTACTTCTTAAGACTGTTCAAATTGTGTTCAAATGAGTCTTGAAATCACCTGCTTTTTCCTGTTAGTGGTCAAAGTGTTATGAAAGCAGTGAAAAGGCTTGGAAGCGAGGCAGTACAGCAGCATTCTCTCTTTCTAGTGATAGAAGATTGCTGTGATCCTGCGTTTTCACCAAGAAAAAAAAGGTCCATCATTCTCACCCAGTGTCTCTAGACAAATATTTTCATTTCAGGATAGCAAAAGCAACACAAACCAACCAAGTGAAACATCTCTGTTTCCAAGAGGACCTTGTGGTCACACATCCTACATCAAAACGTAGCTGCTTCCTAGCTAGGTTGTCATGCAGAAGATGAGGAAGGGGCTGTTCTTTTAAACACATTGTGCTTTTTCACTCCCAATTCAATCCCTTCAGAAACTGAAAACCTCATGTCAGAGAGCATAATACAAAATCAAAACAAATTAGGTTAAAAGAAGAGAGCTTTACAGATATACCTAGACTGAGATGAGATAGCAGATGAAATAGTGGAAGCTGCTAATGACATGTTCTTGGGCCCATGGGAAGGCTTAGGCTGGGAAAGAGAGCTGGGGGCTGCAAGAACTCTGCAGAAGACACATAAAAGCATGAACAAAATTATTTAACAGGGGCACAAATCATGGTATCAGAACCAAGTTCTGGCAGGATTCAGATACAGGAAGACTGCTGCACAGTTGCCAGGAACAGGTTTCCTGTAGCACACATCTGCAGACTTACAGACTAGCACAACCAAGCACAATCCTACAGAGCACAAGGCAAAATGCACACATTATGGAAACATTTTAAAACCAAACTATCAATAATTAAGACAGACAATATTACAGGACAGGACTTTTGTCAATGATACATGCTTTTATCTGAAAGATCTGAAGATGTTTGAGTCTAAATACAAGATAAACATTTTACAATGCAAACAGTACCAGGTAGAAGATTGTCCTATCAAAACCAGAAGTAATTGGAACAATTAGTTTAGTAGAGGCATTTCTTTGGTCTGGAACAGATACAAGGTAATACATTTTCTTCATGCTATGGTTTCAACTGAGGGATAAAAATTACTTAAACCTTATCATTATTTTATGTGGAAGTGCAGTCCTGAATTTGAGCACAAGACTTTATTCAAACCACCTTTGCTGTCTGGAATAAAACCAGTTCATTCTGGTAGGCCATGGCTAGGTAAAAACTGACCAAAGTGAGAAACTAATTAGTTGGTATATATACATAATGCAAGTCAACTACCAAAAATTAATTAAGAAATAGAGCCAAGAGAACATTTCCAATTCCATTTATACATACCTAAAATATGATACATCTGAGGTATCAATTAAAGGTGGTTTATATTACTGGAAATATGTTTTTCAATATGATTTTAAAAACATGCACAAAAGCATTTTAAAATAGACATATTTTCAGAATATTCATGCAGCAAACCCCAAAGATAAAAGAATATTATGTACCAAAAAACTCTTACTATCTCCAAAATTACTGTAATGTAAGTGACAGCTGTATAAATCCCACACATTTCCTCACAAGCTGTCTGACAGTTTTTAATATACAACTGTAACTCCCACTGTGCTCCAAGTGTTAGGAATGCATCTCCTTGAAACTTCTGCTCAAAGGCTAATTCTCATTAGGAAAAAAAAGATCAGATAAATCTAATAGAAATGAATTGATTTAACTTACAGAGCAAGTCAATCATCAAGTGTCCACCATGCTTTACTGATATCTGCTGTGACACAGTAAGCTCAATCATGTGAGTAAATGACATTTTCTGATTTTCCATTTCTTACCCTACTGCAGAAACATTATTAAAAGACTCTTCATTCACTGCAACTAATATGAGGAGTTGTTTTGGTTTTATTATAAGTGGTGTAAAAACCTTTCGAATTTTAAGCCCAGACTCGCTTTCTGAAAATGAAGTTATTTTTAGGGCGGTTTTATTTTGCAAATTTTATGCAAACATGAACAACATATCACAAAACTGAAAAAAAAGCCCACATTAAAAAAAAAAAAACTAAAAAACCCACCCCCCCCCAAATATATAAAAGCATATAAACCAGGTTATAGCTTTTCATACTACATTCTTAAGCTAAGAATGTGTATGCAGCATTTCCAAAGCCAGAGGGGTATAAAGCAATGGAGCATTACCTTTGGAAGGAGGATGAGAAAGACTCTTGCACTACTGAGGCGGTGGCTGGTGCTGCCATCGGGCTGGCTGGGTTTGGAGCAGCAGTAGCAGGCTGAGGTGCTGAAGCATGTGGTGCAGGAGCAGCAGAACTGGGAGCCACCGGGGCATGCTCAACAGGGGTACTAATTAGAGTTAAATTAAATAAAACAAGAAGCATCTTAAGAAGGCGTGCATTTACATGGAGGGCATAAAACCTACTATGTTTGAACCTGCAGCTGCAAACATAGTAGCTGGCTGGGTTACTGAGGGAAAAGCACAATTATGCAAAGAAAAAAAAGATATTTGTTCAGCCTTTTCCATTGTGCAGTTCAGACTGCAATGCAGGTCCTACTTGACTGAAATTTACCCCAGGTGTTAAAGAGCACTTCAGTCCTGCTCCCACTGATGCCAGTGGTAGGAAATGTCTGTGAAGAGCCTGTCACAGTCTTGTGAGCTCATACAAATTCCATCAAATATATTGAAATGAATGATAATAATCTAGTCTTGTATCCTCTGACCATTTAAGTAACCTGTTGAACTATTAATGTGTTCCATCACCTCCCTCAAATTTGAAAATTACTCATCTGTTACAGACAGACAAATGGAGCAAAGTTAGGTATTTTTTTTAAATCAGGGCGTCACTGTACATAGTTGTCTTGTCCATAAGCAGTGGCCTAGAAACATAATGGATATATGTCTACTTCTTTAGACCTATGTCATAAATATATTGTCACATCTCTGTGTTCTTACAAATTACTCCTATCAAGGTGCTGGAATTCAGTGATTCTCTTGCTCAAGGTACAAATACCCAAAATGCTCCTTCCTGAGCACAGCAAGTATCAAATAACAAAAAAATCCCACAGTTCCACAGCTGTTTCTTCAGCCAACTTTAGCCCTCCAAACTCTTTCTCTCAGCCTTTTTTCCTAAGCAGAATTACCATCCATTGTGCAAATTATTTCATATTTTCGTTTGCTCTCTCAGAAGCACTGATTTGACAAGTTCTATTCCTCAGGACCTAGAATGAGTGTTTGGTACTTCTGAATTTGGGATACCCCTTGTTCTCCAAGGGACTGTCCCATTTCTCCTGTCCTTCACCTCCTCTTCTACAGTTCAGTAGTCTACATGATGGTGACTTTATTCAGCTGAATATTTTGTTTGATTAGCTCAAACAGAAGCTGGTTGTTATACCCACAAACCTCAAAGTTGAATGCAGCCCTCAACAAAAGCAGGAAATTGGTATTTCCTCCCTTATGGAGATTCATCTACAATTATGTACATAATAAGTAAGTTCCTGAAAATAATCACCCAGTTTGCAATTCTGGCTTTCAAATCCTTACAACTAGTTTTGTAACAGTTTTGCAGAAGTTCTTCCATAGTAATATGCATTTGAGAGTCAGGTGATTTCTTCTATCCTGATGTATTTAATGATGTAAATTCTTCCAATTAACTAGTAGTCTATCAATTTCACAGCCTATGTAGCAGAGTAGCTGTGTATTATCCACCACAGCTATTCTGGTACTGAATTCCAACACTGACATTTTCCCTGTGCCACAGTGGGTACCAGAATTACCCCACTAAAATCTGTGGAGTCACAGTTTTCATCTTACATACTTACACATCTTTGATTTGGCAAAGAAGAAATGGTTGAAACTATGCTGCACATAAAAATAGAACTTAATGTTTGTGTTAAAAACAAACACAAACTAGGATTTCACTTATTTTGTCTATTTGCACTGATGTGAAAAGGAATTTGCTACAGATTTCAGAATATTCAAGACTTCATATCTTGAAGAGAACAGTGAATGTAATTAATTGCAATTTAATTGTAACAATCTACAAAATAATCAAAATACATATTCAGTGATAAATACTGACAGGAAAGTAAAAAAACCCAATCCATATGTGTGGACCTGTGTGGAGACATATATGAACAGAAAGAACCCATATAAATAATATAAAACCAAGTATACTAGAATACCTTTTAAAGTTTAAAAGAAATAGAAACAAATTTTATCTTGCATAGTGTTTGTAATATTTCTTTTTACATGATTAAAATGTTAGAGGCTTGCTTACCTTCCTTCATAGTAGAATATGTTAATTATCAGAACAAGGAATTGGAATAAATATAAGTGAAGTGGATATAACCATAAAAATCAGTGTGGTTTTGTTACATATATTATATGCACTTGATAACATTCTCAAAACAGTTTTACAGAATGAGATCAAGACTGACTTGACTAGTCTTAACTTAGCAACTATAAATTTTACATATTTTTATCTATATTATCAAATACAATAGCCAAACTGTTTTTTTATCCTCCTCCTTTCTAGTTTTTCAGTCTGATTTTTCATTTTAGTTATTCAAGAACAGAACAATTTCAAGACTCGATAAATGTTGAGTGCTGCTTTATAAAAAAGATCATCTAATGCAACAGCTTCATTATGACAGGTTATAGAGTGTTTTTTGGTTGGTTGGTTGGTTGGTTGGTTATAGATTATAGGTTATAGAGTGTTTTTTGGTTGGTTGGTTGGTTGGTTGGTTGGTTGGTTGGTTTTTAAATACAGTAATTTTCTAGACTTTAAAATTTACAGTACTTTGTATTTTAAAAGACACTGAAAAAAATCAAACATCTTCATATTTGTGGCAACAAACATAAAAGTAAGTTAGCTGAATGAAAACAAACACATTTCTTCTCAGCTGATTTTCACTCATGAAAAGGAACACAGATCAGTAGAGGTTAAGAAGATAATAATGGTTAACAACCATAATGAGAACACAGCAACAAATGCACTCTAACATTTAAAATATAAGGGTAGATTATACTTTTTTCTCTTAGTGAAGTCCTAAGTTTTGAGACTTTCTATCCCAATAACATGGAGTGGATGATTAAAACAGCACTTAGTCTCCTTTATGTAATGCATGAAGGTTTTTGTGTTTCTAATCCTCCAACAGATCACTTGCAAAGAATCAAAAATATAGAGAACCAAAAATAAAATGGATATATAAAAAAAATCTGTTATTGCATCATTTGTATAAAAAAAGTATTTTTTTCCAGAGAAAGCATTTGGAGAAAGCTGTAATGTGGAAGGATTTAACATTTGAATATGGGAATGTTTGTGGAATCCACTGAAAATACAGAACTATCAGCTGCTGCTTCTCTGCTGAAGATGCTTAATGACTTGTCTCTGTACTGTAGGTGTGATCCTGTGACAGCCACTGAAAATGTAACACCCACATGATCCAGAAGCTGCTGGAATTGGAAGAACTGGAACATCTGCCTTTGAGGCAGTGGGCATTTCCATCTGAAGGAGTTAGAGGTTGTTATTACCAAACCATTGCAAAGCTCCAAACCGGGTCAGTGATGCAGTTACACGGCACAGTGTACCTTTGGTTACTGGATGAAGCAAGAGGGGCTTTCTGGCCAACACCGGCCTCCCCCTGGCTTGTACCTGCTCCAAGCCTCACAGACCCCTTGGAGGCCACTGGCTGAGCATTGGCAGTGTTGGCATCCCTGGTGGATGACTTAGGAGGATGCCAAATACTCGAGGTCACATACTGGGGCGCATGCGCGGTACCTGCAGGCCTGGGTGACAGAGATTACAAGGGTGTTTGTAAATGAGGCATTTCCTAGGGAACAGCAGGGGTTTGAGGGACAGACAGAATTCCAGCCACAGGTGGAGGTGGAGATCATAATGACAACGGAGATGAAGTAATCTTGATAGTTCATTGGTTAATTATTGCTTAAGACCAGGAAAGGCTTGACAAATTAAAAAAGGTACCTTGTGTTAAATCTGGAAATCCTATTGCTATGAATATCAAAATAAGCAGAGCTGTGATGGTAATGGAGGTGGAGAAAGGCTGTGGTATGACAGATCACACCAGATTAAGGCAACATAGGAGGACAATAACACCAGTCATATATCAGAAAATGTCCCTGGCAAAATAAAATAATAGTTGAAAGAAAAGGAGATTTCAGTGAAGCAGTTGCATAGTCCTATAAATGGTTTTACACAAATGAAACTGCTGGTGAAGTTCTAACATGCGTTGCTTGTTCTTTACAATTTAATTTATATTCAGGAATCAAGGGGTTTATTTCCTTTCTTTTTAAATTATTCATTTAAAAATAAAAATCAATTTTCCCAACTGTTCAAGTGCCAGTTGCCATTGCTTGTGTCATTATTAACAAATATTGCTTGCACTCAGATATTAACTCTATGCAACCTTCGTTCAAATATAAGCAGTCTTAAAAAAAAAAACAAACCAAAATAAAAAGTGGTTGCATATCACTGAGGCAGGAATCAAAAACAAAGAGAAAAGCAGTAGTATAAAATTCTTTTAATGACTAACTACTAAGAAGCCTGTCTTTGCTCCATTAAACAACTGGTCAGATTCACTTAAGAAGTACCTGTGTACTGGGGATTTTAATAAATGAACTAATGGAAAATAACATTTCTACACTTAACTGCAAAATGTTCTGAGATCCTTTGGGAGAAAACAACTTGATGAGAAAGAACTTACAGAGGGACTGTTTTGAACCTCATAATCCATTGAGTATCAATCAAGATCTGACATATAAATGTTTTTAAAAAGATAATCTTATTTAGATTTTAAAAACATCTTGAATAGTCTAGACAAAGTTTAAAATAGAAATTGTTCTTAAAACTCCATCACAAACTCACAGTACTCAATTTCAAGAATATTTGATTTAAAACCTCTTATTTTTCAGGTTTATAAGTTTTGAGAAACACAATCCCCACCTGTTCCACATCACAGTGCATGAGAAAAAAATGCCTAATGAGCCCACTTAGCTGAAGCCTCTACTTCAATCATCTGCTCAAACAGTATATAAATTTCATGTTTTTGAGGTAAGAACAATACGGAGGAAGTGAAGATACACTCTTAACAGGAAGTAAATCAAACACAGCAAACATTACCTGTTTTCTGATGCTGCTGCAAGGTTTTCCTTGTCTCTGTGAAAGGAGGGGATACAGTATGAAATAAATGCAATTGCCAGCAATGGCAAAAAACCCCCACCCAAAACAACCAGGGAAGAAGAACATGGGTTGGGGAGAAATGTTTGGTTGCAAAAAGCATCCTAGAGTGGTTGCTTGTAAATATAGCTGTGAGAAACCTCTTCAGCTTTCCAGGTGAAACCACCAGATATACAAGTTTGCTGTATGCCTCTTATCATTTGCAAACAACTTTGTTTCAATAATAAAATAAAAGGAAAATTACAAACGAGACATTGTAGGTTTCAATTTCAGGAATAGTTTTGACTTTAATAAGTTTCCTTTAAAAAAATAATTCAATAATATTCCAGCAGAACATACTTGGATGCCAAATCCAAGCAGTAAAAATAATTAGAGTTGGGCAGTCCTCATGGACCCAATATTTTGAAGTGATCAGCAGTTAAATGGTTAGCAAAGACTTACACAAAAAGGATTTCTTATGCCTGGCATAACTTAAAAATTCTCTGCCCTATCCAAATACTAGTTTTCTCAGCCTAAATTGGATTAGAAACAATTCCTTCAACTGGAAATCATTCCTTCGTTGAGGTGAGGATTAAGTCAGCCTCAGTTTCACTGACAGAGAACTGGGCTGTCATTCTGTAAACACACATACACACTTAAAAAATAACTGATCTGTTTAAATGCCAGCAATTGTTTATCTGTAAGAAGTTAAAACACAAGTAATTTAATAAAGAATAGAATCCATTAGCCTTAAACACCTAAGTTTAAAATCCAGTTAGTTAAGTAATTGAGATAGTCTCACTATTTAGCAATTCAATGGGTGATTGCATCCCTTCCTATTTAAGGAACTGTGCTGAAATTTCAACAGGTTTAAAGCTGAAATATACCAAATGAGAACACTTTTCTTAAGTGTAAAATTACAAAGCACAAAGCAAATGTCCTCATTTACCCAAGTGAACCTTCTTCCTGAAGCACCCTTTGAAAACAAAAAAGGAACACATGCACTTTTTATATGGATTTGCTGGGCTCCAATCACTAACTTACATTATGTTTGGAAGGCCATTCTTAATATTTTCTACATTATTATCAATATTGTGTTTATGTAGTCATACATTAACACATATATGTACAGTCACATATTCTTTCCTTAGTTCAGTTCCAAGAAAGTTATAAAAACCATTCCAGTTAAGATCAGCAAAGGCTTGGGCATAGGCGTTCTCTACGGATTTTTAAAACCTCTAACTAAAATGTAACCCTAAAATGAATTGAAACCCATAAGTTGGGAAATGCCCCTCACATGTGTCTGTGTGAATAAGATGTTCCTGTGGTCAGAAGAGCCTGCCTTGAATAGAATCCCTCAACGAGGTTGATGGCTCACCACTCTGAAGCAATGAGAAACCAAACACTGCCCTTATGGTAACCAAGCTGTGAGTTCACTGCAACGCCAGCTGTCAAACAAGGTGCAGGAGGATGGATTAGAGACTGTGCAGGTGTGGGAAATGTTAATTTACCAAGAGCCATAATCATGCAACAGTGTTAAGGAACACAGTCAGGCCTGGAAACAAAATACAGCACTATTTATCTCCAGTGTTGCCAAATGCTCTATGAGAAATTACAGCCAAGACCAAAAGGCAGGCGGTTGAGGTCAGGCTGAAGCAGTGCTAAGCCTCTGTTGTTACAATTAATGTAATTAATCCTAACTTTTCTGCTCCAATAGCTGTGGCTACACTGAACAAGGCAAAAACAAGTCACTTGACTCAAGGTCACTTTGAGGTCGGTATTTCACAAAAGCTTTTTCCCCAAGTGTACAATATTGGATAATGTTGAGTGATGACAGCAGGGGAGTTGTGAAGGTGAAATCAGAGAGAGAAGTATAGTAAAAATACTTCTACAGAATAAAACAAATGAAAAGGCAGAGAGTAAAAGGGAAAATGAGTTCAAAGGCACATAACACTTCTTCATGGTTTTGCTTCGAGGACCTATTTCTCTTCCCAGTCAATAGCAGTAATTCCCATTTGGCTACCAAGAAGAAAGGCTCAAGATCAGATGTGCCTCTGACTGGCAATACTTGCATTTTAAGGAACCGACGACTGTATTTCTGGCCTTTACAATCAAAACATTTTTTGCTAACTAAATGCAGAAGTAACTTTACTTTTGAGCCAAATACATCCCTCAGGCAGGCTCAGTAAAGTCAATACCTTCACAACATGAAAGAATTTGGCTCAGAATACTATGAGCTGTTTGTATCTCTGTCTACACAGGCTGCTGCAATAACTGACAGTAGTGAATAACAGTTTTGAGCTATCTGGGAGAGATTTAAAATTACCGTGGGGGATTTTTTTTTTGTGTGCTGTTGTTGTTAGTCCCCACTGAAAAGGCTTTTGATAGAAGGGCCTCAGACAATGACTGTTCTGAGAGAGCAGTGCAACTCCCACAGATTTCATTAAATGTTGGACTTGTATTTCAAACAAGACCTATTTATGCAACATACTGTCTTCCCAATTTCACAGGACATTATACAGTAGAAATCATGAAACGTTTTCTTCTCATAAAATATGCTACATGATATGGTGCTAAAGACAGAGTGAAATGATAGAAATAGAGTCTTTCCCTCCCACACACCAACAAGAATCAGAATAGTTTGAGTAACAGAAATCAAATTCATTTGCAAGCCAAGCTTGTGTGTGCTACTGGACCCTAAAAATAGCCTGGAGAATCATCAGAATTTTCAATAAACAGGTTAAATCTGAACTGTATGTACAGGACATTGGAATGCTTTCCCATTCTACTTTATTTTTTGGAACCAAATGCAAAAGATTCCCAAATATGTACATGTAGCAGGCAAGCTGAAATGTGGAGGTGGTGCACCTTCCATCTACCTTCTTCTTAAATAGTAACAGATCTAGGCTCTCTCTCTTGAAAAGCTCTGCTCTATTCCCCTAAAATGCGGAGACAGAATCATATGATGTGCAATGAAGACCTGGTGACATAAGAAACATGAGGTGTCCCGAGGCACCACATGGTCCCCCAACTACTCTTTCAGTACTGAAGCAAAAAGTGAATATTCTAATTGAGTTTTTTATCTATACTCTTGTGGAGCAAGACTATTTTTCTAATTTTACAAATGAGAGACTAAAACTTAATAGATTTGTTCATGGTCTAAAAGAAAGTCCACAGCAGTGTAAAGAACTGAAATAAGCTCCCCCAAACCCCAGCTGAGTATTTAAAATATCAGTTCACTCTCTTTAATGAGGTATTATAATTTTAAAATAAATATATCTGTTCAGTTCATCAGTATTTTACTGTATTGAGAACCCAATATAGTCTTTTACTGAGTCTGATAGATACACAATCTTTTTTCAAAGGGGAAATAAACATACAGATTATTAGGGTCTATATTTATTGAAATTAAAAATTCTGTTTTTCTAGTAGTACAGTGTGGATTTGCAGGACTAATCAGACTTAAGGCTTTCATCCTAGCATGTACTTATATTTATATAAACATATTTGCCAAAAAATAAAATTTCCTTTTAAGAAGTAAAAATAACAAAGTAATTTAAAAGGAATTCTTATTGGGTGTCTGTGAGTAAAGTTGTGTGAAAGCTATTCTATAATTGCCTTCCAAACATTTTTTGTCTTGAAGGCATGAGACACTGACACTGTTGGAAACTGGACACTGAGCTAGATTAACTGCTGCTCTGATCCAGTGAGGCTATTTCTACCTTTCTGTATTTGCAGCTGAGAATTTTTCCATGGTCAGATGACTTTTGAGATTGCTTGCCTTTTTTCCCCCCCATGCTATATTTCTGTTATTTTAACAAAGACACCAGAAGACAAACAAAGAAATGACAGGCAGTTAACTGGAGAGGACAGAAGAGGACTATCATGCTGGTTTAGTTAACACTTCAGCTTGGGATCACAAGGGGAAAAGGGCTAGTCTCTCTTTTTCAGCCACTGTAGTTAAGAATGTGAGCAGCCCACGCCAAAACAATTGCAATATATCCTACTATGTTTGCTTTCCAAAACAGGGAAATACTTTTCTCACAGGGGTTTCCTGGTTTGTGCAGACAGTGCCACAGAAGAGAAGAAGCATTATCATAGATTCAGTGGAAAACAACCAGCAGCTTGTTGTCAACACATAGTATAGAACTCAATCAAAGCAGCTCACTAAAATCCAAGCCAATCCCTCCTAAGAATGCATTTTAGTGGCATCTACAGGTTTGCTGTTACATTTAACAGGCACAGAATGAATGCAGCTGGACATACAGCAGCATTAGTGTTGGGGAAAGATAAGGTAACTCTTGCCCAAGGTTTACATCATGATATTTGGCATATAAACTACATTTTAAAATTTAATCTTATTGATAAATACATCAATTTAGCAAGAACAAAGACTGCAAAATTCTGAGCTGGGATTTAATTCAGATAATTATTCCCTATCTTGGCCTTAAGAGTGCAATTCAATTTAACTGAATGTTTTCCTGTAGCTTTCTATAGCCCCACAGTAAAGTGCAGGCATCTGCCACCAGGCACCTGAGCACAGGATCCAAACTCTCAGTCTGTGTTCCTGACCACTACAGACAGCAATGCACAACAAGTTTGGGTTTTGTATGCCAGGAAACGATTCCCCTCTCACTGAAGTGCTCTTTCTCATTGTGACTTCACTTTTCTCCAGAGAAGCTGTGGAAAGAACAAGAACTCAGAGGTTTCACTTTCAGGGGGTTGTTTTTAGACCTACTTTTTAATTTATGCACATTGATGATAAGAAAATTCATACTTCCTCTACATGGCATTAAGCTAAGTTTGAAGCTGCCCCTGAAACCCAGCAACATGTCTGAGCTGTTCAGTTCCTGAATCAATTATCTAAGTGGTATGAATTAGAATGATTGTCATTTTTTCAGAATGTGGATTAAATTTTATTTCATAAACTCTCTCAAGAATTTTCTTACCTTCCCTCTCTCTCATTTGTAATCATATAACATTCTGGGTCAGCTACAACA